GCAGACAAAACGTCTCAAATTGTGTTCAACTTATGGATCACTCAAGGGGAGGGCTGAAGTGGTGAGGGGGGGGGGGGGTTGGTGTGGAGGGTCGCCTGGAAACACTTCTCAAGCGCGCAGCTTGTCAGCATTTATGAGCACAAACATTTTTAGACATTTGCATATGATAAGTAGCAGGCGGCAACCCTTAAGACTAGACTTTTACGCCACTAAGACAACCCTACAAGTCTCCACATGGAGACTCGCTGCACCGTGTGTAGGCCGCAGCTGTCTAATAACAAGGGCAGCTGAGTTAAGGCCCGCGAGCGCACTAATATTTTTGCAGTTTAACACACACACACACACACACACACAGTTACTTATGCACCCTATTATTTATTTATGCTGGCACCCTCAATGGACCCGCCAAGGACGTCAACGGCAGCGTCGGCCCTGGCTGCCTTATCAGTGCCTGCAGTTTGTTGTTGTTGTCGCGTTGTTGCTGTTGTTGTGGTTGCTGTTGTTGTTGTTGTTGCTGTTGTTGTGCAGGTTAGATTAGGTTAGGTTAGTCGGCGCTCTTGTTGTTGAGGTTATGTAGCGCGTCGCGCGTTGCAGGCGCGCGCCTAAAAACGGATTAATAGGGATTAAGCATACGCAGCGTGTGCGCCTTCAACACATGTTTAAATTATGTTAAAATTTGTTTAAAGCAAGGGGGCGCAAGATAAACGCGGTGCGTGTGTGTGTGTGTGCGTGCGTGTGTGTGTGTGTGCGTGCTTGTGTGTTGGCTTTGTTACTGATAAGGTGCTGTGCGGCCAAGGGGCGCAGGCGGGAAGGGGCCGCTTTGTCGCCGCTTCTTGACTTTAATCGATGCTAATTTTCGGTTTAATTCAACGGTTTTGTTTACATGTGTTTAAAATGCCACCATGCTGTGCGTGCATGTGTGCGTGTGCGTGCATGTATGTGTTTGTGCTGGTTTCTGTGTGAATAATGTTGTTATTATCCTGCCAGATCTGTTGCCAGAATAAAAAACAACAGAGAAAGGCGTTGTCAAAACAAAAGTGAAACATGAGCAACATGAGCAGGTGCGAAAATACGACGATATAGGATCTTTCCATTAGGCATGTGTGAATTTTTGAAAATTATGCGACTGCCGAATCTGACGTAGCGTTAATAATGCGCCTTATCAGTCAAAATATTACAATGGCAGCGTTCGCTTGAATGGGCCGAGCTCGAAGTGCTATGTAATTGTAAACGCAATTCGGCGAGGAGCTTATATGTAAAAAGCTGAAAACAAATCGAATTCCATTAATTTACAACGAAATTGGCTAGATTATGAATTCTTGAAAACAGAATATTAATTTGTAAAACTATACGGAGCTGGCTGTTAAAAAAAAAGACGCAATAAATTAAACGCAGAACATATCTAATTCGTTTAATCGCTGCAATTTAAAGCGCACTTTTGCGATAAAGCAAATTAAAGACAATAAATTTATGTACTCCATTAAGTTTGCTCTCAATTTTCCCTTGGCTGACCCCTGGACACTGTGTGCTCGCATGTGTGTGTGTGCGTAAGTGTGTGAGTGTGTGTGTGTGTGTATCAGTTTCTCAGTTCACGGCTCAACATGATTTACCGAGGCTCTCAACTGTAAGCAGCAGAGTATACCCCAACTATCGAGCCGAGCTGCTGCCACATATGAAAAATTACACGCATATATCACTTGAATGGCGCACAATTTGTGCAGATAGACACACCCGAAAATTCATTGAGGCGTAATAACAAAGCCAATGAACACCTTGATGACAGTTAACAAAGTCAACACAAAGGCGACAGGACTAGGAGCAGCCAGGAGCAGCCAGCAGCAGGAGGAGCAACAAAAACAAAGCCAATAGGCAAAAACAACGGCAGCTACAAGAACAACATTGCAACAACAACAATACCAGCAACATCATGACAACACAAAAACAAAAAGCGAAGAGATAGCGCAAATTACAGACAAGCTTATTACGCAAAATTTCGCTTAATTAGCAGGCAGACATCAGAGACGCACAAAAGTAGGCAACAGTTGCCGACTCGGGCAGACAGGCAAAGTAAATAAGAGCTGCCTGGCAAAAACTACACTAACTTACACTGTCTCTGCCGCTCTCTCTCTCTCGCTCTCTCGCTCGTCCTGTCTCTCTCTCTCTCTCTCTTCTACACACACTCACCCACACACTCATAGACTTATGGCACCTTTTGCCAGGCAAAGCATAATATATGAACTGACCTTAACTACTCGCCTGCACGGCAGCAGCTCCTATGAGCAACAACAATAAATACAACAGCAGCGAATAAGTAAAGCAAGTAGGAACAGTTGCCTTGAGGTTGGCCGAACTAGCAAATACCCTTACAAACAGTTGTGTGTCACAATCAGCCGATGCTTAGCTGCTTGCTTTTCAAAGTGTTTAGTTTAATGCTGACTAATATATATATAATAATAATAATAATATCCCAAATTGTTATAAAAAATATGTAATACAATTTTGAGGTTCAGAGTTTGTTAGGGTACTAAAATGTATCTTGAATATAAACCGATTTTGATTAAATTGAACATATTATGTGAGCTAAATGATATTGAAAATAGACTTTAAAAAGAATCATAAATATTCAATATGCGACATGTTGTTGAAATCTATAATAAATTGGTCAAATGTTGGCAAAGGCATCAAGTAAGAGTTGAATGGTAACTATATTTATTATTAATATTTATAATAATAATTCGTTTGCAATGCAACAGCAAAATACAAGTTAAAGAACAGGCGAATTGCATTATGAATTTAAAGCCAATAGCGAAACGATTTATCAGTTGAATTCTTACTTAACAAGAGGAGTTTACAAAAAGGCTCAGCTATCGCCTTATGAGAAATGCATATGAACTGTCCGAAACCCAATTAGACTCGCCCGCATGCAGAGGTTGCAAACAGTTAACTAATCGAATTAAGTTGGCTTCAAATGTAATATGCCCGTGTTGGCCTACAGCAGAGACCTGTGGATATTCTGAAGGCAGCAACATGTGAGGGCAGCGAAAATTTACTTGGCCAAAGGAATATTAAATGCCGCGTGGGAATTCTCGCTGTTTATGACTGCAGCTGAATTTCCAACCGCACAGCGCCCCAGTTGGCTGGGCAAAAGGGAAATGCCACAGACAGAAAGAGGGGTAGGGAAGGGAAGGGAAGGGAAGGGAAGGGAAGGGGGGATGGGGGGATCGCTATGCTTCAGTAATTTCACTTAAGTCATTATGAGCCATTAATAAAGCCTGCTGTGTGGACCACTGGCGACTGGCACTCCCTGCTAGCCTGCATAGGTATAATTGTACACACGACCATTCTGTCTGGGCCCCATAACCCCCCATCCCTCATCCCCCATCCCCCAGCCCCGTCCCCAGTCATTGGTTACCCATCGAAAGTCAACCACGTGGATGATGCGCCCAAATGTCTGCTACAGATGGCGATTCGAGTCAGTTTGTGAGTGTTTGTTGCCTTTAACGCACTAGTTTTTCTTTTACTTTTCACACACACACACACATGCACACCCATGCACACACACAAGCGTGTGTATCTGTTGACTATTCAGTTTGAATTTGCTTATTTCATGGCTTCAATTTTCAGTCCATTTTTTGTTTTTGGCCATAGAAAAACATTTTTATTGCAGTCTATCATTGGCAAAAGCAAAGTCGTTATCGCATTTCGCATTTTTTATGTTCGTTTTGTTGTTGCTGTTGTTGTTTTTTTGCGATTCAATTAATTTGAAAAACATTTTATGCGCGTACGTTCAATTATTTTGAAGTAATTATGAAAGTGAATACGCGTTGCGTGTACAAGCTTTAATATTCATTTCGAATTGAATTCGATTTAAAGCACTTCGATTCTTTTATCAAATATTTTATCTTAGACAAACCGAAGCTCATTAAAAAGAGATATTTTTTAAAAATATAGAAAATTCTAGCTAAAAGCTAAAACAATTCGTTTAAATGTGTTTATAAATATATTTCTTGTTCAAATTTATTGGAATAATAGTTTATAATGTGGAAATTTGATTAATTAATTTTTCCAATTTTTCTCTATGCTTTTATTATATTAAGTAAAAGCTTGTACTTATACATTTAAGTTGTTATTTAAATATCGGCTTGGTTAAAACCGAAGCGAGTCTTCTTCATTTAGACACAAGGTAACACACGTGTTGAAGAGGTCAGAAGTGCCGTGTATCTATGTCATAAATTCACACGAATGTGGACGCGTTCTCGTTAGTTCTTATGAGGGTGTGTGTCGGAATTCATTAGCAAGCCGAGCAGACCCGATTAATATTCAGTTTACACTGAACTCACCCCCCCATTCACATCGTGATAATACATTTAATTCTTTAGTGTGTGTTGAGCGGTCGCTGACTTTGAGGCTTTTCATTTCGATTGTTATATTTGGAATAAATACAACTGAGGGGAATTTCCCTATGACTCATATCAGCAATATGATGCAAAGTTACCAAAGAGAATATATTTAAAATACACAAAGAATGACTTGCTGCAATTTATGGTTAATTGAACTATAACCAAAACCTACGGCAGTTATATTGAGCATATTTAAATTGAATACATGTTGTTTGGCCCAAGAGCTTGTGAGATATGAAGTAGGCGAAAATTTATATATAATGGATGGTTGAGCTATATCGTTTGCTTTTAAACCCTTTTGCGGTATCCTTCTATACGGATACAACATGCGGAAACTGAATACGCTTAAGTAAATATAACGACTTAACGGGCATCATAAATAGGTGCTAAGTGTAAAGACACTCGTGTATAGTGTTTCAAACTATTTCTCAATAATAAGTTGCATTGCATTTGGAGACTTCTCGGGAAATAAGTTAATGTCCCTACCTTACCCTTGAAGCATTTCCATGATGTGTTATGCGGTTCCTAGTTGACTTTGTATGTGGATTTTCACTGGATGCTAAACAGAGTTTTGCACAAGTGGAAGGTTGCAGTCGGGTATTTATGGACAAAAATTGCAACATGCATTTCTCACAATCAACTCTTTAAATCATACAAATTATTCATCTACCAGAACATTTCCTTTGGTTTTGCAGCTTGCCAAAGAACTGAATTTAATTAGCGTTTCATGAGATATATTTGTATCTTTCAAATGATACAGATTCTCAGCGATGTCCCAGGCTTCAATCAAGGATAGGTCCAATCCATAATCAATCTTTCAATATATGTTTGTGTGCATTTCTATTGTTTGCTTAAGGCACCCAAATTGACTTCACTTTCGCTAGTATGGAAAACTTTTAGAATCTTTTGTGCTAAACTTGTTGTTGTTGTTGGCGGCCTCGCCTGCATTTTCGATGAAGTTTTTGCCATGTTTTCGGCTAACGTTGCCAGCTAGACGAACGGACGGGATACTTTTCCACTTTTCCACTTTTACTTTCATAACCGAAAAGTCAGTCTTCAGACATGTTGCTGCCTCTCTGCTACAGCAGCTCTGCTGAGCTCTTCGAATAGCCTGTGCACAACTCTTATATGGTTCGGTTTGGTCGCTCGCTGCTAAAATAGTTCGAATTTATATTCAGCTATTGAAGTTGCCTGCGTAGCAGAGATTTGTATAAGAGCGTGTCTGCACAGTTCGAAAATATTAGCAGAGTTGTGCACCTCGTCGGCGGCGGCAAGGCGCAAGCGTCATGGCTGCTGTGCGAGAGTCGTGCCTTGGCTATACGAGGCTGTCCACGAAGCGGCTGTACTAAAAGATGAAACGAGCCTGAAATCGTTTTTAGATATACTGAGAGATACACAGAAAAATGACAGAAAATTGCCAAAAATGTTGGGAGAAATAATAAATTTGAAACTCAATTAGTAAGTATGCAACTTGTTAGGCAAAAATTATAAAAATTTAATAAAATATTTTGTTTTGAAGGAAAACTCATACAGAAGTTGGTTACAACAGGAGCTGGTTAGCCGCAACCTCTTTCTCGTCGCATGACTGGCTTAGCAATGACTCAAACCGCCATTGACTCGCCTCGCTTGCCTCGTATAAGTTCGCGTTTGAGTTCGAGTTGCAGCTGCAGCTTCGTTCTGTGAGCCACCTGATTCCAGGTTCGAGTTCGCTTCAATCGTCTGTGAGCGGCGCTTCGAGTTCGACCTGTCTGGCTGAACGTATCTACGGAGGCGGCAATTGTATCTGCGTTTAGTCTTCAACGGTCTGCGCGTTGTTTATGTACGTCGCGTGTCTCTAGCGTCGAATGCAACAACGATCAAAACAAAACAAAGTCGAGTCGAGTCGAGTCGAAACGAGTTGGAAATTAACGACAAAACACAAACAACTGAAAGCCGCTAAAAGGCATTTGCATGGCTAAAACCCCTAAGAGGTTATCAAATTCAGTTTAACAGTTAGAATTAACTAACAAGCTTACGCTCAGTGTGCGAGTGTGAGTGTGAGTGTGCGTGTGTGTCTCTGTGTGTACTTCGTGTCTATTGCGCAAAATGTTTGCCCAAATGCATGGCTCAAATGCATGGCCAAGCCTAAAACTGGCAGCCGCTTGCAATTAAACACAAAAGATACAAAGTATCTGCAACTGTAAACAGCTACAAGAAAAAATATAGAAAAAATTCCACGTGTTGAGCAACGCGGCCAATCAAATAGTTACAAATCACAACAACAACAAATATACACATCAAACACGGCGGCAAGATGCAGTTTTGGATAACTTTGACATTTGCATTGCTTTCGGGTAAGTTATTAAGCGAAGCTTCGCGCTATGTGCGCCAAAAAGTATCTCATAGATGCAGCGCTGCTGTCTATTTTTTGTTGTATTTTGACCGCTGCGGACTGCGCACCAAAAAGTTCATGACATTTGACTGGGCTACGAAAAAAAAAAAGTCAAATACATATATATATAAAATAGAAGATGAGTCTCAGACGCAGTCGCAGACGCGGCAGCGGTTATCTTTCCATATGAATTGTGTGGCTCCGCAGACTCCGCGAGTGTATCTCGCACATAACTCCTTTTGTCTGGGCTGTCTGGGGCCGTTGCTGCTGCTGCTGCTGCTGCTGCTGGTTTTTCTTCTGTTTGCTGTTGACATTTAAACACTTGTTTTTGCCCGCCGCTGCCGCTGCCGCTGCTGCTGCCGCTGCTGACTGTGGTTTCTACTTCACAATACGAGTACGTATAAAAATTGCTGTTTTTTTTTGTTTTTCGCTGTTGTTGGTATTGTTTTTTTTTTTGGCCATAGCCAAGTGTTGCGCTAACACACGGCGCACTTGCCACCAGCCCAGCATCCACCCCCCCCCCCCCCCCCCCCCGCCCCTCCTCTGCCGTCGCGCTGCTGTTGCCCACGGGCTCGCTTTAAATGCAAAAGTTTTTCGTATAAATTTTTTCTCAGTTATTTTCCTCAACATTTTTGCAGCCTCAACTTTACTGCTGCTGCTTCTTCTTCCACTTCTTGATATTTTTTTATATTTTTGCTTTTTTGCCACCGCTGCTGTTTATTTGATTTATGCGACATAATTCGAGGCGAACTTTGTGGCACACATAATTTAATTTTTGCCATCGCACTTTGTTGTTGCTATTGCCCGCTGCTGCAGGCGGCATGCGGCATGCGGCAAGCGGCAAGCGGCATGCGGCAGGCTGCAGCCTGCTCCTGTTTTTAATTATTTGCAATTTTGCATTTTTATTGTAAAACGTCAGGCGCGCTTTTGTTGCCCGGCAGTTTGTTTGACTGCTAATTGAAAACTATTTGCATAAAAAATGTAAAACATTTAACAAGTTTCACACAATTTGTGCATCGAATTCGTGCTTGGCCCTTACAAAGTTCTGTTTTTGATTCAATGCTAATGAATTGAGGACAAAATTCTGTCGCTGCATCGATGAAAACGCCGATGAAAATGTTTGGAAATCAAATTAAGAGTCTTAGATGTGGTCCAACAGCTGTCATCGAGTCTTCGCTAACACAGTTCTAATGATTTTACACCACATGACGAATTTATTAGTGAGCATTGAAAATCTTTAATTAACGTGCTGTTAATAGAAGCTTTAAATAAACAAACGTGTATTTGCATTGACGATTAAAAGTGGCGCAAAGACAAAGGAAATGTATGTGTTGAAATAGATTAAGGGGGAATTACGACAATAAGTTTTTCTAAAGATTTGCTTTGTTGCTGACACGGACTAACTAGATAAAAACGATAATTGAATATACGCAGAAATGGCAATTAAATTACACGTTTCTATGAAATTGTTGCCAGTTTATTACGAAAAGTTACTTTGCAGAATATTATTTCCATCAAATTTTTCAAAATATGATTTCTCTTTAAATATCATCATTTGATTTAAAGGAATTAAAACAATTTTTAAACAAAAATATATAAATAATTCTGTGTTTTCAAATGTGTGAAACCCAAAAAAATGCCAACTCCAATTTTATTGCCCAATATTCCCCTGTTTTTCCTTATAATTGCTATATCCCAGTTTGATGGCGCTTGATTACAAAATAACTGCATTAATAAAGAGGAAAAAACCATTAAGTGCAATTTGAAATGATTTTTGACATAACGATTTTCGTACATATTCATTATGTGTACTTACAAAATTGCTAAAATATCTTGTGGCACATCATTTTAATTTGGAACCTTCGTCAGGACAACAGTTTAAGGGGCCCAGCAGTTGCAGTTGGCATCGTTATGACCGCAGCTCCAGTTGCTCGTCGGCTGTCGCTGCGTTTGGCGCACGCCCAGGGATATGGACATGAGCAGCAGGAGCAGCAGGAGCAGCTGCCCCGGCATGTGGTCGCAGGCACCAGCTCCATTTGCACGCGTTCAAAATTAATACCAGTCAGGCTGCAAAAGGCAAACAAGCCAAACTGGCAAGCTGGTAAACTGGCAAACTGGCAAACTGGCAGGGCACGCAAAAAACACAAAAACACAAAATACCAACCAAAAAAAAGTAGAGAAAAACCGGCAGGCAGGCGGTTAAAAAGAAATACACCTGCCCCAGAGCCCGCAATGGGGCAAGCAAAACACAGTTTGAGGCAGTCAAATTTTCAACATGTGTAGCAAGCGGCCAACCTACAAAAGACGGCACGAAAAATTATGATTACGTTCATTTTTTTTCCTCACTCGCTTTTTAGCACAACTAGAAAAATTGAGGATGTGGTTAAGCTCTGAAAGACGAGGCGGCAGCCGACAGAGACAGAGAGGGTGAGAGGGTGAGAGAGAGTGAGAAGTTGAATAAAAAAAAGTGTAGAATTTACAAATCTCTTTTGCCTACACACTCGTAAGCGCTGATGGGCAACAGCAGGGGATTGAGGGGGGGGGGGGGGGGCAGATGGCGTACAGAGCTTTAAGCCAAATATGTAGGTTTATGCTCTGTGCATAGATATGTGTGTGTGTGCGAGTAAGAGTATGTACATGAAATGTCGGACTTTGCTATATAATCCCAGCGATTTACCTAGGCAAATTGAATTAAAGCTAAAACCTCGGCAAACGGACGGCCTCCTGGCTCATAGCTGGACTTAGCACCGATTTGGCTTAAAGCCGTAACTGAAATCTGTGCTGGCATAAAACTTTTGACGCACTTGTCTAAAACTTGCGCCACCATCGGGTCTCTGTGTGGGTTATAATACGCAACCACTTTGCAGTGCATTGAACTGGTACGGCTAAGCGCTACGGCTAATCGGTGGGCAGCAGCAGCAGCTGCTAAGAGTCCGAGTTCGAGTCCGAGTTCGAGTCCGAGTTCGAGTCCGAGTACCAGCCCGAGAACTACGAGTACTTGTCCAGTGAGCCACTTGCTCTGATTAAAAAAAAACTACTGCGAATTATGTTGAACAGGTTGTGGGTTGGGGCTGAGCGCAGCGGAAGCGGGAACGGGAGGAGGTTAGCAGACAGCCCACATATACTGTAAGAGTGCAGCATAGAACATTAAAAGCAGCCCGAGCAGGGGGCGAAGGCGGGGGGGCAGGCGGACCGGTACAAGACCTGAACTGACCGCAATTGCCTTAGCAAAATCTGGCTGTGCTCCACTTGGAACTGGCCCAAAACTTTTGTGTAATATTCTTATAGAGCTCTTGAGCGATGCTCTGCATATGGCTGAGAGCTTTGAGTTTGCAGTGTTTCAATTATTTCGAGGGCTCCATTACTTTGTTTAGTTTAACTAATTAAAGTATTAAAATGTTTTCCAATTTTAAGTCGATCGAATGAAGAGCTTTGCTAACAACATATTTTTAAAGATTCAGGTTTAAATAATAGCTCCATAAGAAACGTAAAATTTCAATTTTAATTCTTGTTTAATTTTCAACTAAAATCATAATAATTATTATTCAGATTTATATCTAACAACTGATTATTTTAATCATTTTTATTTACAATATTTTTTTCTCAATATAACTTTTAAGTAAAATAACATAAAATAGTTTCTAATCTCTTAATCTCTAAAATCTCGAGTATTATCTAACTTCGAATTCCACACAATTCTGTCTACATTTAATTTGCACTACATTTTTAATTATTACCTTTCAACTCCGCTCATTTTGAATAAGTTTCAGTTTTGCTGGCATTCTAGGCTACTTTTGTCTATCTCACATATTTCTGCTGCTGGATTCTTGTGGCTTGTGTACCTTGTGCTAGTTATAAGTAAAAGCTATCTACAGATTATTCTGTCGCCATCCTTTCACAATTCTCTCATACGAGCATAGTTAAGTATTTGCCAGCTCATGCTGGGGCTGACGATTGCAACTTTCCCAGCAAATTCCAAAATGCTCGGAGCCGGGCCCATGCCCATGCCCATGCCCATGCCCAGGTCCAGGTCCAGGCCCATGCTGAGGCATTTACCTAATAGACCTACCAACGTGTGCAACTTTGTTGAGGGTTTCGTCTGCTGCTGCTGCTGCTGTTGCTGCCCCCATCTCTCGTGTTGGATAATTACAACCCCTGTCTTACCTTTTTGTTTTTTTTTTTTTAAATGTCCATTTGTACAACTCACTCCCGGCTTTGACTTTGACTATCCGATGTTATCCAGCAACTTGGAGACCCGCACAAAATGCTGGTCATTTGTTTTTATGTAAATAAAATGCGCTTCCAAGTTGTTATTGCTGATGTTGTTTTTGTTCCTCTACTTCTTGTTGTTGTTCCTGTTGTTGGCTTATGCATATTTGCCTGTACTCAACGAGTCGCTCAGTCTGACACTCTTTTTATACAATATATACATTTATATATGTATGTATGTGTATAGTTGTTGCTCCTGTTGTTGTTTTTCTGTGTTTCGCAAACATTTTCTGTTTGTGCCGCCTTTGGCTGGGGCTGGTCAAAAGCGCACAACATTTTCCTTTTTCGTCGTGTTTTCTGTGTGTGTGTGTGTGCGTGTAGTTGTTGTTGTTGTCTTTTTTGCAAATTCACTTCCGCCACAGACTTTTGCCAGCAAAACGGCAACATCGAAAAAAATTAACACGACAAAAAAATATAATAATAACGAAAAGCAGCAGAAAATTGCTCGCAACTTTGCTGCGTCTTTTTCTCTTGTTATTTTTTTGTTCTTTTGCTTACATTTTCTTTGTGCAATAAAAATAAATAACAGTTTATGAAAATTTGCCAAAATATCAACAGCAACATCAACATCAAGAGCAACAACAACAACAACAACAACAACAACAACAACAACAAAGTGAAGTGACTTTTCCTGTTTTTGGCGGCGGCTTTGGGAACGCGTTCTGCTTGGATTTTCATTCTATTGTAAAAAGC